AAGGGATCATTAAAGGAGACCATGGGCACAAACATACATGAGGGTGAGCATCCACAGGGTTCCCACAGGGCGATAGGGCACAGCATGGTAATTCCTGCTTGGGAAAAGTGACATAAAATTGTCCAATGAGTCTTTGAAAAAGCAGAAATGTATAGCCCTCCTGATTAAGAGAACAGGATGAGACCAAGTTAATGCAGCAAAAGATCGTGAATTCTTCCTTACTACTGTCATAGGGGGATCTTAACAAAGACTTCCCAGGGCAGTGTTGAAAAATAAATATGCAACTGAGCTGAAAGCACTAAGCATGGTACAGGCATTATACAAACATTAACTCAAGGCTCCTCCTCAGGGAGCCATTCAACACCCCTCATTACACAGATGAAAAATGGAAGACCGGTTACATGACAGATCCATGAGCATCTAGTTAGTTCACACTGTTCAGGGAAAGAAAACAGGAATGCCCTGGCATAAGAAATCATTTTCAACACGTAGATGTACATCCCCAAAGGGAATTTTAACTAGAGCAGCAGGCACTGAGCTTTCCTTGGTCATCTGATGTTTCTAATGCATTATTTCACTATATTGAATTCAAAACACATATCTTCATAAACATGCAATTTTATTTGCTAAAGATAGTTATATGCATATGTGGTTCTCAAAATGTCAAGAATGATTAGATTCTAGAATGAGGTAGGAAGAATTTCAGCAATAAAGCAAGAAAAGGTTACTCTATGGTTAAGTTAAAGAGTTCAGAGTAAACTGGGTAAAAAGAAGGCAAACATTACTATACTGCACTGATAATCAAGGCTAGAGTGAAGATGACAGCTTTTAGAAGGGCTCATATTGGCCGGCAAGATAGCGTAGTAGTTAAAAGTCCCTGCCTTGAATGCACCAGGATCCCATATGGGCACCAGTTCTAATCCAGCTCCCTGCCTGTGGCCTGGGAAAAGCAGTCAAGGACAGCCCAAAGCCTTGGGATCCTGCACCCACGTGGGAGACCCAGAAGAAGTTCCTGGCTTCTGGCATCAGATTGGCTCAGCTCTAGCTGTTGCGGCCCTTGGGGAGTGAACCATTGGATAGAAGACCTTCCTCTCTGTCTCTCCTCCTCTTTGTCTATCTGCCTTTCCAATAAAAATAAACAAATCTTAAAAAAAAAAAGTTCGTATCACAAGTCAGGAGGGGAGCCCAGCATAATGGCTCAATTGGTTATTCCTGCCTTTGCAAGCAGTAAAATCTCATGTGGGTACCAGTTCCTGTCCCTGCTATTCCACCTTCCATCCAGCTCCTTGATAGTGGCCTGGGAAAGAAAGCAGTAGAGGATGGTCCAAAGTCTTGGGACCCTGTGCCCCCATGTGAGATCTGGAAGTAGCATCTGGCTCCTGGCTCCTGATGGGCTCAGCTCCAGTAGCTGTGGCCATTAGGGAGTGAACCAGCAGTTGGAAGAGTTTTCTTTCTGTCTTTCCTCTCTGTAAATCTATCTTTCCAACTAAAAAAATAGTCAGAAGGGAAATATGAAAGTACACTGGGAGAGGAGGGGAAGACACCCCGGAGAAACTAGACTGGGTAATTTTGAACTGAAATCTTTTGGAATAATACTTATTTCCAGAAAGCAAAAACAATTTTTGCAAGGTGTAGTGGCAGTGCTGGTGATGCATGTCAGAATGCAAGGAGAAAGAAGGAGAGGGAGGCAGTCAACGGTGGGAAACCAACTAGAGGAAGGAGTAGGGCAGATTTATCATAACTACGAAGTATCGACTTGAAGTCCTTGTACTCGATAGAAAGGCACCAAGGCTGGCAGCTGATCTGAAACTCTAGCAGAACCAAGCAGTGTGCCTCTGTTGTCTAGCTAGACAATACTTGGTATTTAGAACACTTCTGCCCTTCGCTGTGTGCTCCCAGACTTCCCTGAGCCATTATCGCTGTTCTTTGCTCAGTCTGCTCCCACAAATTTCCAACAGCAAAATCCTCTTCCCCTGCCCACAGCTGTTTCACATACTAAGGCCGGAGACCTGCCCTTTTCCTCTGCTTCACAGCTAACTTCTTTCTCTTCTGATGCTTCCATCACATCTGTCCTGCCTCCCATTTTGCCTACCGTAGGTGCCAGCCAGCCCAGCACGCTTGCCTGGGGAGGGCTCCTCTGACAAGCAGGGAGCAGTGAATATGAGCTCTCTCCTTTTTTGTGTACTGCACACTGAAGGAAGCGTAAAAAGAATTACAGTAAATAATTTTTGAAAACAAGTGGTTCAAAAAGTATTTAAAACTACAGCAATCCAGGGTAGGAAGGGACAGAAAGAGGAGTGTTGCTTGCTTCAGGGTTGCTTCTTCCACAGTGCCATGCTCAGTGTGAATCTGCTGGAGTGAACTGAGTAGCTCTCAAGTTCAGCTACCATTTACTAGCTCTTGGTGTTGGAGTCAGGCTACTTATGCTCATTGTTAAATAGCGATAGCAAGAGTTATTACTGTTTAAGATTGTTGTGAGGATTCAATAAATTCACATATAAAAATGTTTGATGCCTGGTGAATGTTAGTATCCTTCTTTTTAGCCAAACCACAGCAGGCTTAATATGTCGGAACCTCTTCTGGCCACAGGAGTCTTTCCCATAGTCCCCCCAATACCGACCATCTCATCTCTGCTCCAGTGTTCCCAGAAAGGAAGTTCCTATGTGGCCGAAGGGGCAGAGCATATTCCATAAAGTTTTTATGAAAGTTTTTCTTAAGCATGGGTGTTTGATGCAGTGGTTAAAATGCTGTTTGGAATGTCCACATCCTGAGTCACAGTGCTTAGATTCAAGACCCAGCTCCATTTCCGACCCCAGCTTCCCACTAACGCTTACTCTGGGAGGCAGTGATTGCTCAGGTCACAGGACACTATCATTCATGTGAGAGACCCAAAGTCATTTCCAGGCTGACTCCTGGCTTCAGCCCAGCCCTGGCTACTGCAAGCATCTGAGGGGTGAGTCAGCAGATGGAAGATCTCTCCACATCTGATTGTCTCTCATATGTTTTTTCTTTTTTTTTTAAAAGATTTTATTTATCTTTATTTAAAAGGCAGAGTTACAGAAAGAACAGAGAGATATTCTATATACCTATATACTGGTTCACTCTCCAAATGGCTGCAGCAGTTAGAGCTAGGCCAGTCTGAAGCCAGGAGCCTCTTCCGGGTCTTCCACATAGGTTCAGGTGCTAAAGGATGTGGGCCATTTTCCCCTGCTTTCCCAAACACATCAGCAGGGAGCTGGACTAGAAGTGGAGCAGTCAGGACTTGAACCAGTGCCCACATCGAATGTTAGCACTGCAGATGGAGGATTAACATACTACCCATGGTGCAAGTCTTCCTAGGATAGTTGAAATCTGCAATTTCCCTATCCTGCCCTTAGTTCTGCCTTGCTATATAAAACCCAGAAAAGTCTAATCCTTTAGTTCTCTTTAGTTTTTTGTTTCCCAACTCTAAAACACCCCTACCCCCCATGCCTGTCATCCATTCCACATATGAACTGGTTTTGAAAACCAAGTAGACACAGCAACATGTATCCACCTGAAAATACAGTGAACTCTCTCCTGAAAATACACAACACAACTGCCTGGGGCAGATTTCTGAGCTGGATGATGCCTTCTATTCACAAGGCCAACATTTATTTGGCATTGTATGAAAACACCTTTCCCTATCAATGCATGATAGCACAACCAAGTCTTCTGCACACAGGTCACTTTAGAATAAGACATTGAATCCTGCTCTGGGCTTTAGAGTCTAACGGAGTTGAATTTTGCATGCTGACCCTGAAGGACAAGATGGGAGATTCAAGTAGTTCTGTGAGGGAATAAAAGAAGAAATGTTCAGTTTCAGGACTGCATAGTTTTTGGGTAAATTCATTTCTTCTTTTTTTTTTTTTTTAGATTTATTTATTTTTATTGGAAAGGCAGATTTACAGAGAGGAGGAGACAGAGAGAAAGCTCTTCCATCCAATGATTCACTCCTCAAGTGGCCACAAAGGCCAGAGCTGAGCCATTCTGAAGCCAGGAGCCAGGAGCTCTTTCGAATCTCCCACGTAGGTGCAGGGTCCCAAGACTTTGGGCCGTCCTCAACTGCTTTTCCCTGGCCACAAACAGGGAGCTGGATGGGAAGCAGGGCTGCAGGGATTAGAACCGGCAACCATATAGCATCCCGGCACGTTCAAGGCAGGGATTTTAACTGCTAGGCTATGCACTGGGCCAGTAAATTCATTTCTGATCTCTTGGATGGCAGTGGTGAAGAGTGATAAGCAGGAAGAACCATGATAGATACCATTCCTGTTTTTGTCTAGGGTGAAAGCTGTCATGCTAATGGAGCTACCTGTTTTGAATATCACTACTGCTGGTCATTGTGATCTCCTCCAGAACAAAAAGGAATGTATTCATTAATTACAAGGTGAAACAGCATGAATGGACATGGGCTTCATGATGTTGTATCTAGTCTGTATCTAGCTCATTAATGAAATGGCCACAATAATAGCAGTAATTCATACTTTGACATTTATAGCACATTGCTCTTTTTTTCCTTTCTTATGCAAACATACTATACAAATGCAAACATGTTTTCACCTTCCTAAGTCCTCTGTATAGGATCGTTACTCACCTCATTCATTTTCCAGAGATGAGGAAAATGGGGCTGAGAGGGCTTGACTCACAAGGGTCAGGATGAAGGCGCTCTGACTCCTTGTCCAGCACACTGCCAGTGAATCATCTTTCCTTGGTGCTGGCTCACTGTGGAAGCTAAAGGGAGCTGTCCGAATGGCAGCAGCAAGGGCTACCTGTCTTAGCACTATCACCTTATCTTGAAAATAGACCCCACGCCCACCAATATACACTCTTTCTGGGCCTCTCTCCAATAAAACCTCAAAGGGCTCCTGAGGCACTTTTCCCCCATGGGAACACGGAATACTTGTAGAAAACGAAGCAACGTTACTGAGTTACTTGAATGAGGGCACACTGGCCCGGAACTTGGACTCTGAGGGGACTCTTACCTCGGCTGGGCACCTTATTTCTACTGAATGCAGCAGTTGGCTGATGTCTGTAGGGATGCATCCCCAACTCCTGGGCGTGACTCACAGTTCCTAACAAAGATTCAGGGTCTCCAGGTCCACCGGTACTCAAGAGCAGGGGGCTGTCATGGCAACCTTTGGTCAACGGACGGGAACTCTTACTCTCTGCAAAGCCGTCCTTGGCCCCTTCACACGAGCAGTCTTCTTCCATGCTCTCTGAATGCATTAGTGCTGGCTGATGAGCATAGCCGTGGGTTGGGGTCGGGGAGGAAACCTGTGAGATACATTCTGGTGCCCTGATTTGTAGAAGATGCTGGGGGCTGGTGTGGTGGTGGTGGGGATACGAGTCAGTATGTTGGTAAGATAAAGCCTGGTGCTCTGTCATACACTGTCCCCCAAGACTGGGAGCCAGACTCCCAGCATCCCCTTGGTTCATGGCCCTGAACAATTCTTGGTACTCTTGCTGCTGCTGCTGTTGTTGTTGCTGCTGCTGCTGCTGCTGTCGTTGCTGCTGCCTTTTAATGAGCTGTGCAAACTCTGCTGGGGGCAGCCGGATGTCCGAGTGGCCGGTGAGTGAATGCCGGGGAGAGAGCAGTCCCTGAAGGATGTGGGGTACCTGCTGGTGTCTTGGATAGTCTGGCGGCGTGGGGGACAGCAGGGCCTGCTGCAGTGCCGATGTGGTATAGTGTGGCGGCTGCTGGTGTGCACTGGGAGGGAAGGTGGGGAATTGGTCAAGTGGAGGGACTTTCAGGGCTGGGGTTGGAGGGAACCCTGCTCCTGTTGTAGGGCTGTAGCTGCTGGGGGAACCCCGGGACTGGTCCGAAAACAGATGGGGGTGTAAATGCGCTTGGTCGTAGTTAGCAGGGGAGAACCGATTCACGTTCAAGCTGCAGACACAAAAGGGAGTGAGTACCAGGCATCCGCGTCACAAGAGTGCCAGAGTCCCCTGGGTAATAGCTACTACTCTTAATCAGCAGGGAGCGCCCCCACTGGTACAGAGAACTGCTGTGACAGGCAAGTGGAGGACGGATGCTTCACCCCAATCTGTCCCCTTATTCATTTATTCAGTAAGTTCTTGAACTCCACCTTGAAGGCAGCACCCTGGCCTAGCTTAAAACAGATTTTGGACTATTAGGAAACAACAATTTCTTACAAGAGTGATGGGGACAGAAAAAACATGTAAAAGAAAAAACAAACAAAACCCCAAAAAACAAAAAATAAGGAGCATCGGCATTTTTATACAACTCCTCTGATAGATGACTTCTTGACAAAGGGAAATAAAGTCAAGGTATCTGTTATTTTGTCCTTTTTCTCAGTAGCATTTTAATCTGGAGTCCATAAACAGGCTCCAATTGCACCCCTGACCCACCTCCCTGATCCTCAGAAGGAAGTTAACAAGAGGAAAGCCTAGTCAGAATCATCCTTCACTCTCTGTTTTGCTAAGGGGACTGCTCCTCCCACCTGGGTTCCCTGTGTTAAGGCTAGGTGACATCAGGTTGGCCTTACCTGTGGGCCTCCGCACTGTCGGCACTCAGCTGCTTGGACAAGGGTCGGTGCCCATAGCTAAGGGTGGCCATCAGGTTGGTGCGGTGCTGCATCTGAATCTGACTGGCACTGGGGCTAAGGGAGATGCCTCGCCCAGCAGGGCCTGCAGCTGTTCCAGGCATGTTGCTGAGCATGTCAACAGGCTCTTGTACTTGGATGGTCACCTGCTGTGACTGGCTAGGCTGCTGCATGCCCAAGCAGGTGAGTGCCATGTTAGGAGGAGGGGAGCAGCTTTCAGCCTGCTGCTGGAAGATTGTGCTGCGGGAGGGTAAGCCTTGAAACTGGGAGGGAGATGCAGCACCTAGACAGACAGGACACGAGAGTTAGCAAGAGTCTGGGTTTCCTGCCAGCCCAAAGTAATGGGAGCCAATGAGACTGCTCAAGCCATCCACTGTCTCGAGCAGAGTTTTGACTTAGCATGCGTAAGATGATCCCAGAGAACTTGTTAAAGGTCAGATTGCTGGGCCCTACCCCTACAACACTTATTCTGTAGGTCAGGGTGGGCTTCTAAGAAGTTGCATTTCTCATTAAGTTTCTCTAACCGCTGGTCCACGGATTATGCTCTGAGTGGCCAAGTAGGCAGCTCGTCCCAAACTTTAATGCACATACAAATGGCCTGGTTAAAACACAGACCCCACTTCAGCAAGTCTGGGGACTCCGCTTTGAGGAAAAAAGGATCTCAAGGCCAATTCAGACTCCTAACCATTGTCTAAGGAAATTGATAAGGGACCTGAATTATGTGGTTTACTTAACAAATTCTCAAAGTGATGGTCCCTGAAGACCCAAACTCAGCAAAACACATCACCTTAACAGACATCTAGCCAGCCACAAAAAGGGGCCCACAAGCATAGCGGACATTCAAAAGGAGGTATGACGATAAGGAAAGCTATGGTAGCAACTTCTTATTTGATAGGGTTAAAGACAGCTTTATTAAAAATATGATCAAGAGTGTGTTTTCTTTATGAAATGCTTTGTGCCAGAGACTATTCTATGTGGTTTACATGTGCCTATTGATTATTGTTGTTATTATTATTCTCATATTTGACATCCGAGAATGCTGAGGCACCCAGAAGCAACATGCCTAGGTTTCACGATTACAAAATCATTAGGAATTGGTGGCATCAATTCCAGGCAGAGCAGCTCTGCAGCTCTACACCTAAAACCTACATTATTCTGTCTGTCAAATGCTTCCTGGCACTCAAGCCTGTGAGGGGGTCATTTTGTCCACAGGACATGCAATGGATCAACCAGAATCCCTCCACTCACCGTGAGGCTGGATCATGGCACTGTTCATTGGGGGAGGACTATTACTAGGAGGCCTGAAGAGATGGTTGTTGGGGTGGTTGGGGGGAGGGCTTGAAGGCTGAATCCTTAACCTTAAAAACAATAAAACACAAAAAGAAACTTCTTGTGCTGACAATGTAATCAGCCATATGATACACAAAAAAATAGAAACTATTACTTTTGATAAGCTTCTATGGTACACATTAGCCATCTCCTACAGTCTATTAACACCCTGATACCAGGCTTCTCAAAGATGCTAAGTTCATGGTAGACCTCTCGCATTAGATGCCAGGTCACTTTAAGCTATCTGAAGTGGTCAAGGAAGTCGGGATGTCAGTAACATTGGTTTCTCTGTTTTTCCAACAGTTTCTTCCAAGATGAATACTAAAGGAACCCTGCATCTCCCATGTGAGTCAGACCCAGGACATCAAGCCAGAGGCAGTGGCTATGGCATCATAACACAGAATGATTCCTTACCTCTGCAGCTGGTGGGTGAGGAGGGCAGGCTGATTTTCACATGCAGCCTGAAGAGGTGGAGAAGGCTGGGGAGGACAGATGGAGTCCTAAAACATAGATTGGAAGTCCAAAAAGAAAAAAAAAGTTGTGAGCTTCAAGACTCATCAGAGCTATTCTCAGGAAAAGAAGAAACAGAACAGTCTGTGACTTGGATTTATGCTTCTATGGCTCACACCAAAGTCTGATTACCTTAACTCAAGACAAGTCAACCATAAAAGTAACTCCACTTTGCCCTGAGTGCTTTCCTCCAAAAGACAGAAGCAAATCAGCCCGAAAGCAGACTCCAGACAAGTCGGAGAAAGCAGAGAGTGAGGGCCTACTTGAATTTGCTGCTGGAGAATTTGGTGGTGCTGCTCCTGCTGGTATAACATATGCTGCTGCTGGGTCTTCTCCAGGGTTCTTTCATCAATCTGCCCCCCGTACATCTTCTGCAGCTGCTCACACTCCTGCAGGGGAAGCAGTTAATACAGATGGGATGCAGCCAGGCCCACCCCACACAGTGATCTCAGCCAACTCAGATCTGCCCAAAGCTCTCATAGGCAGAAACAACCGCAGAGGACAGTGTCTTTGATGACCGACTCATTTATATAGGTACCTGTATACTATATATACTCATGCTCTGTTCTGTATGAAGGGAATGAAAAACTGTGAGGGAGTGTATTTGGAGCCCAGGCTATTTGAAAGCTTGATATGATATCAGGAAGAACAAAAGGAAACTGGTTCTCTATGGAAGCCTAGAAGTACGTTGGCCCCACTCTGGGATTACCATTCCATACCAACTGGAGAATATGCCATGTGGTCAATGATGCAGAGCAGGCTCCAACATGACCCAGCACTCCACATCAGGAGAGAAGGCTAGGCTGGCTTACGAGTACCTTCCCTGGTGCTTTCCCACTGAAACTCAAGCCTAGGAACCCCTCCCCAGTGGATTATGGAGACAGAACAATTTAGTTCCTTCAAGGGGAAGTCTAGTTTGATCCTGGGAGAGGTGTACACAGTGGCAAGTAAGGAAACCGGAAGGTCGTACTTTTCTAACCTGTAAAACTGCAGTGGGGCTGATATGAACGAAGTGGGAAGTTTAGTGCCTGAGGCCTCCTGCAATACTGGTCCTCTCTTACCCATGCTTCTCCAAGGATGCATTCTATCTCATCCATTACCTGCTGCAACTGTTTGATGCTGCTGTTGTTGCCCATTTTTTCCAAGTGAGCTTTGAAGGCCTGGATGCTTGCAGCCCCATCTGAGAATCGGCGCACGGGGGAGAAACGCTCCGTAGGGAGGTGCAGGGTGTTGGAGTCCTTGTAGGGAGAGCTAAATACATGGGAAGAGAAGATTAGGGGCTGGGCTTCAGGGTTCTGACTAAGTCAAATAGGAAATGTTGTTCCAGATGAACACAAAGGTGGTTGGCTACATGTGTACCCCTGCCTTTTGGCAACTTCTGAAGGCTGTTGCTTCCCTAGCCTGTTTCCCTTTAAGAGGGCTCCTGTTAGGCATCTTCCAACTCCACTTACCTTTAGTTGATTTACATGCCATGCCTGGTCAAGTCCTGGGATCAAATATATCTATTTCTTACAAATATATTAGGCTAGAGAGAAATCAAGCTTTTCAATTATCTCTTAGCCCAGGCTACGTAGGAGCTCTCATGTTTATAATTATGTCTCTATCTAATGTGTTTAAATCTGAAATTTACCATTTAACCAGCATTTCCCCTAGGCAGGAAACTAGTCAATTTTTTGGTCAAAGGTCCGGCAAGACTCCCCGATTCTGTGCTAGAAAATGGAGGGCAGAGGTTGGGGTGGGGGATGATGGGTATTTCTGATCCTGGGATAGAGACAGCACATTCCTAAGGAATGTAGACCTCAAGATCCAGCACGTACCTGGTCAACACAAATAAGGTTACCTACTGTGAAAAATCAACTTCTCAGAGCAGCAGCACCCTCCCAAAGGCCTAATAAAAGAGGATTACCTTCAAAGACCCAATGGCTCAATCAGAACACAGCCAGTACCTCACAGAAAGAAAGAACAAGCTGTTGACAAGAAAGGCCTAAGAAAGCATCAGTGTTAGAAGCTAACACCTATGCCTGTTATTTAATCAGAAAAAGATGTTTATGGATTGAGGTAAGCAGATAAAAGACTGCCAAGGCAGCATTCCAATAGCTGATGGAAAAGGCCAGGGTCTCATGTTCAGGGCAGAGATGACAGTACACTTGACTATGGGTGAAATGATAGATCACCTTGCCAGTTACTCATTTTGGATTAAAGCAGAAGCATAGCTAAGGAAGGAGGTTAACAAGCAAGTTCAAATACAAGGCAACAGGGAGGGACTAGGAGGAATAAGGACTCTGTAGAGGTGTCAAGAGAATTCTGGCAGCAGGTGAGAGCCCTGCACCCTCTCTTCACTGATGATGCCCTCTGTTTCAGGTGCTCCCAGAGGCTGCAGAGCGCAGTGAGTGAATGAGATGAGCATGATTTCAATAACACAGAAGACAAATGATGTCAGGGCTAGGGAGAAAGGGGAGACAATCCAGAAGCAGTGATTGTGAAAGCTGATATCCAGAGCAGTTTACTCAAATTTTTCTTTTCTCTTTCTGCTTTAGACTTTAATTCTCTCCTAAAATTTAATTTGTATTTTCCAATAACAGCTACACTTTTAATTCACTCAGAAAGGTGTGTTCTCCAGGTAGTCAATACGCCTCCACAAAAAACCCCATTCTCTCCCATCACAGCAAGGATCCTTGGTCCAGGCAGTTCGCGACTTTTCCAGAGGCTCAGGTTTGATGAGACTGACATCCGGGATTGCACAGTAACTTCCCAGGAAGCATTCTGATGGTGTTGCTCATTGGGGATACACTGATAGTATCAATTGTGCTTGGTTGTCTTTTAATTAGCAATCATGTTTAAACTCAGCACAAGCTCATATTAAGTTGATATTTCCAAAATATTCTTCAAATTGGGACTTGGTTACCCACCTGGATAAAATCCATTCTGTATTCATCTCTTTGTAGTAACACTTAGAAACACAGTAAATGACAAATCACATATTTCCAGAAATGATAAGCTTAATCAAATCCATCCTTTGTCTCCATGTTGGACTTCATCTAATGGGCCCCGGAAAAACAGATGCCATTATTTATCATTTATGTTTATATATGCCATTCTTTAATGATTTCCTCCAAAAGAAAATGAAAGGAATTGGATAACCTATCAAGGATACCCATTTTCACTGTTTTATAGTCTTGGAAAGTTCCTCTTTTTCCTGTAGGCTAACTCTAATCTCCTGTGTCGTGTATTTGTACAGTAACCCCATCAAGATATGCTGAGTTTACACAAATGCCCCACCTCACACACTCTGCCACTCATAAAGCATTTATTTCCTTTCAGTTCAAATTGGCCCGACCAAAGGAAACAACTGAAACATGCTACCAAGAAAGGCCACATGAAAACAGACAGCTGACAGATTTCCAGCAGGCAGGGCCTTGAATGAAGGTAAAAGCTACATAAATGAAATTGTGGGCTAACATGGTCTTCCTTTAGTAAAAAATGTTAACAGGATATAGGGTCTAGGACAGAGCCTGACTGAGGAGATGTGCTAGCCTTCAGGTTTCCCTGAAAAGAGTAACTCCTGAGGAACACCTAGAATTAAATAAGGAAATTCAATGATACTAAGTGGAAACTGACTCTGATGATCAGGTTGAACAACTGTCAGGCTGTTGAGAAAGGGAAGATGCAGGTCAGGAGAAGGAAGTAATGACTGGTGTAGCTACAGAGTTCCAAACTATGAGAAAGCATGCAGAGTTTGCAGGAGGAAGAGAGGGCAGCTCTCACCAATAATTATGACCTTTGATGGACACTATGTGCCTCTTAAGAGATCTTCATGAGATTGTCTTTCGGTGCCATCAGAATTTTATTTGGGAATTTCCATTCTTGTCACTACTACCAACTGATCCCCTTTCTCTAGGTTATTCACAGTCATTTATAAAAAGCTTATCTTCTTTCTCTCAGAGTTCCAACGTGGCACTAATTATGTCTCAGCCTGTTCAGAGTCCACCTCTTCTGCTGATTCCATCCAGTGGGTAACAGACTAATTGCAATAAAAAAAACTTTCTATTAAGCCTGCCAGTGGCAAAATTTCACAACAACACACACAGAAACCTGATTTCCTTGGAATGTGATGACTTTTTCAACCTTCCCAAGTAAAGCTTGCTTTCCTCTGTGCTCTCAAAAAGACAAATTAAAAGGTAAGATCTGGCAATTGATGATGGTCTTGAAAGTGTGGCCCAGAAGCTTGGGGATAGCTTCAGGAGAGATGAATATTTTAGTCATCAAGGTATTCACAGAAGATAGCCATCTTCTGAATCTGGCAAAGTGGCATCCTTCCTGCTTCCAGGCTTAGTGGAGTCAGTGACGTTTTATTGGTCAAGAAGATTAAACTTTCTTTTGTTTCTTCAAGAGAATGAATTAAAATAGAGACCTAGCAGAAAGTTGCGCCATCAGGATATTGAGAATGATTTCTCAAAGCACATTATTGAAGAGGGTACAGCATCTTTGCTCTACCATCCAGAAAAGGATGTATCTTCTTCCATCTCCAAACTTGTTGTTCAATGGTCACATGATATGAAATGCTCATTCTCTGGGAGGTGATGGATTATTAAAGGTCAAGTCTATTAATGTGGCTACAAATCCTTCTATTTCCAGCTGGTCTTGGGAGAGCTTTACTTCCTTGTAGTTCTCAAGTTCAGTTTCATTTTTAAGTTAATATCCAGAGTCATGGGAATCAACTGCAGACAATACACCGGTCTGCAGGTAATGGGAAAGAATCTTGTATTGCTCCAGGGCGCAGCAGCAAACCTTTGCCCTGCGTATTGTTTAATGCCACAAGTCGAGAAGATGTGGGTTCAGGATGATAGCTGGCTTCTATTTAAAGCCTTGATGCTAATCACCATCACTGTGAGACTGTCCAATGAGCCTCAAGGAGCTCCCACAGCTCAGGTGGCTACTCACCGATGCTGATCAGGTACCAGGTGAGGAGGCCAGACCCGGGACCGGAAAGGCTGCTGTCCTAGCTGTCGTTGAAGGTCCGCTGGGATCTCAGCTGTAGGGTTGGTCATGGCCAGTGTATGTCTTTTGGACCTATTTGCCAAGTACCTGCAACAAGCAGGAGCACATTTCATAGTAAAAAAGACAGACAGGAATATTCCTCCACAAGAAGCAATAGAAGTTAATCCAAAACACTCCGTGAGACAATGCCAGAACTCCAAAAGGATTCCGTGGCACTCAGATCCCTGATGGATGGAAGGGAAAAATGTCTCAATGGCCAACAAAAGCTGGCTTAACACCGAAGCTGCCAAATTTTGAGCCTAAGAGTAGCCACTGAAGAGAAGACAGCAAGCAGATCAAGCTCAAAAGGAGGATCCATTTTCCTTACTTCATTCAACACAAGAATTTATTTTCTACATGTTTACTTCACTTTCCCTCCAAATTTCCAAAATACAAGTTAGAATAAGGGAGCCTAAGGACTATTTTTAGAGATGAGCAAAGGAACTCCTCAGAAGGATATCACATAGGAACCTTGAAATGATGGGCCCAGGTTCTGAGACTTCTTATTATGTATCACACAGATCCTTCCACGTGGGCTTAGAAGTGAGTTCCCAAACCACTTCTTTCCTCATGCTCTGTGATTGTAACTGAGACCTATCAGAGAAGAAAAAATGTCTCCAGGAACCAATGTTTTGTAGAGGATGAAGAACTAAAGCTATGTGAAAAGTCTGGAATGGCTTTTTTAGGAGGCAAAAAGGCAGACAAGAAAACAGAAGTTTTGAAAGTGAAAGAGTTCATAGAGTGATGAGCTTTTTTTTTTTTCTTCAGAAAATCTTTCAGTCAATACCACGAACAAGATTATCAGTCCCCCTCCATCTGGTTGATCACTTCCTCCACGACTGCTGCTCCTCTTGGGCATGGACAAAAGAAGTATTATACCTTTTCATCAAAACCAACAGACATTACCCACTTTAAATGCTGATCTAAGGAAGAAAAAGGTGGACTTGGAGGAACTAAAGTAGAAGACAAAGAAAAATAATATTGCTGTCTGCATTAAGGTAGGGAAGTAGTAAATTTCCTAGTTTCAATTCTTCTTGATACATGGAGGGCTCCTTTGCAACCTGACACATTCTATTATCTACATGAGGAAAAAAAAAAGGTCATCACAGTTTTCCCTCTGTTTGGCTAAGCTGTAGAAGTAGCTGGCCCACCTGCCAACACTTTTGTGTGCCACGGTCTCCTCTCCATGTGGGACCAGCTTCTTTCTGAACAGCAGCTCTCATAGAGCTACTAGAGAAAGGTAAAGTCCTAACCAGCAACTGTCAGGCAGTTCTTTAAATAGTTGCATTTCATTCTGTAACTACCGTGCCCATTTAAGCTAAAATCAGTTAACAGACTGTAGAGGAATTAGCGGTATGAAAACTTGCCAAACAGTAAGCCATTTGTGGTTTAATATCCATTTGATAAAGACACCCAGAGTTTCCTCAAGAGCCCATGAAAACCATTTTATTTCAATTCCCCTCAAGGGAAAAACATATAATCACGAAGAACACCTGTATTTCTGGGAAAATACATGCTGGATTTTGGTGAAACTCCCTCCCCAAAAACGAGAACGACAACTCCCACTGGGAGGCATGCATGGAGTTGAGGACCAGGGCTAATAGAACTGAGGTCAAATGAGCAGTAAGTACAGCATGCCTGGTGGTCATTGTCATTCTCTGTGTATTACGCATCTCTTAACAAGGCTCTGCCAACAATGGATATCTGCAATAGCCCCTGGCCCAAATCCCATATTCATTTTTCGATATCTCTTGGTTGGTACAAGGGAGTGGAAGAAGCACACAGCACACAGTACAAGAGGTATTCCTTCTCCTGGAAAGGAAGAGTCCATGCCAGAGGTCCATAGCCAGACTAGCTAGGATCACTGTCATCCCAAATCTCCAATTCCTTTTCAGTAAACAGTTCTTGGCAGGTAGGAGCAGGCTTTGTGCCTTGTGAATACTATCAGAGTTGCAATATGAAGGCAGGGGGCAAGGAAGGAAGGAGGGAGGGCAGGAAAAGTTCTTATGGTTATTGCTGTCACATAGGGAACTTCCAATGGCGCTTACAGAAATGAAATTTTCTGGGTAGTCTTCTGTTACTTCCATGTGGGGAGGAACATGCCATCTGGCTTGAGCAAAGAGACCACACAAATGTTGAAGCTGCACTGTACCACCGCCTTGGGCAGAGGTGACCATTCGTTGGTTGCAGGGAGAGCCTGCCCAAAGACGTTCTGCAAGCACTGCCAGATGTCACATTACCTCTGCACAGCTTCTTGATCTGGCTCCCCGTCTGAGCTTTCCTCGTCCACAGGGGTAACTGCTGGGACTGCCTGGAGAGACACAGGAAGGAAAAGCTCAAGGTAGCAGCTTTTTCTGAAACATTGCTTATCCCAGTGACCAGGCTGGGGGCAAGACTTTGTCACTTGCCATAGTCACCACACTTCTCAGACTCGTGGGTTATACTCACAACTTTCATACACCTATTAACCACTCTTACCATGCTCAGGTGATACTATATTTGGACTTCTCTTATTATCTTCATTCATTTACTTATTCTCAAAACAAATAGCTGGATTCCCTACTGTATTATGGGATAAAATGTGAATTTACAGACTAGTCTTAACCTCCATTTTATAGTCTAGCAGAGAATGGTGGCAAGTAAATATGCTGTTACAAAAATATGACCTTGTCCTCCAATAGGGAGTCCTGGGAATTAAGGAAGGTATCCTGGGGGAGGGTAACACCTCACCTGCAAGCTGATGGTTGCATGGGAACTAGCCAAGCAAAGAAAATGATCTTGGGTTTCAATGAAAGAGAATGTGTGTGGCTTAAGGGAGTTCATGGAAAGGAATTTAAAGAAAGAAAAAAAACTAAGCATGGACTTCAAGTTTTCTGTACCAAAATAAAAGCCTTGTCCATCAGTTCCATCACTCCATAACCTATCTGAGATTCTGAGTGGATCTGAAAATACAGAAGACTATCTGGAATGTTCATATTGGCAGTTTCATATTAAAGCTACTGCCTGAGTTTAAATGTCTTCATTCTGCGAAAAGCTACAAAAGTACATTTCAGTAAAGAACATGTAATTGTGTAGCTGTAATTCAATGCTTGAAAACCAATGTGAGAGAAATGAAAACCACCATGCCTTGCTGTGACAATGCTCCCAGCTGTATGGAGACCGGAGGCTGGTACACTCTTGATGGCTACTCACAGCTTAAGAATTGTAACAAAAGAAGCTAGGTACCTTTGCTGCAGGGTGTAAAGGGCTGCTGGTAGGGACCATGAGGCAAGACTGGAAGTAAAAAGGCCAGTTAGGAGGCCATTGTGCTATCCTAGGCAATAAGAAAAGGGCTACAAGAGACAATGCCATTGCTCAACAAGCTAATCCTCCACCCTGTAGTGCCAGTTCGTATGGGCACCAGTTCGTATCCGGGCTGCTCCACTTCCTACACAGCTTCCTGCTTATGGCAATGAGAAAGCAGTGGAGGGTGGTTCAAGACTTGGAAGCCTGCTCACACATGGCAGACCTGGAGGAGGCTCCTGGCTCTGGTCACTGTGGCCATTTGAGGGGGGAACCAGCCAATGGAAAGCCTTTTCTTATCTCTCCTTCTCTCTGTAAAATCTGTTTTTCAAGTAAAAATACATTTGAAAAAAAGAGGGAAAAAAAAAAAGAGATGGAGAGAAGAGATTTAATTCATGGGCACTAGATAACTGGTTTGGTATGGGGGCAAAGGCACATCCATACCCACAGCTTGCATAACTAGGAGAATGATAGTGCCATTCATTGTCAAGCAAGAGGAGGACCAGACTTCACAGTGTTGTGAGTTTATTCTGGGACAGGTTGAATAAAATATGTAAGTACTGTGAGATAACCAACTAAGTCTACTGACTAGACTTCCTCATACATGTATAAAGATGTGTAGAAATGAAAAGAACATTCTGGGCTGCAGAAACAGATGGTAAGTAAAACTATAGGAGTGGGCAAACTCATCCAGAGATAGTATGCAAAGTGAGATGTGGTATCACAGAAGAGGGGAAAAAGATAATATTTCAAGGAAAAAATGGTTAACAACGACTAATACTGTTGGCATGTCCAAAAAGATACATTAAAAATATTCACTGGCTTTATCAACATGAACTTGTTAAGTGATCTTGGCAGAAACAGTTATAACAAACAGAGAAGTCACTGTGCCTCCCATAACACCATTCCTGATCCCTCCTAATTTATACTGATCCTCTCCATCCCTGAATGTCTCTACTTCCTCCTGGTCTACATCATTCACTCTGGCACTTAAGAACACAGGCTTTCTTAACTGTTATTCAAATACTTCACAATTGTTGATTTTGTATTTCCAAATTATAAGCTCAATGATGCCAACAGCTATGATAAATAATTCTGTCATTTTCAAGATATCAGTGTTACTCAAGGGGAAGCCCATGGATCCATGCCAGTCTACAAACTGTTTTGTTACTAATTCATGAAAGGAAAATAACCAGAACTAAGAAGAGGTCAAAAATTACTTGACTGTGATCATAAAGCCAATATAAAAAAGATGGGACTGAGATACCACCTGACAATGTTAGGGTTTCTGAAAGAAAAGTGATCCATGTTACATCAAAATATGAGTTGATGGGGCTGGCACCATGGCCCCAGAGGTTAAACCTCTGCCTGTGGCACCAGCTTCCCTTAGGGGCACCATTTCATGTTCTGGCTACTCCCCTTCTAAGCCAGCTCCCTGCTTACAGCCTAGGAAACAGCAGAAGATAGCTCAACGCCTTGAGCCCTTGCACCCATGTGAGAGATCTAGAAGAAGCTCCAGGCCCTCGGTTTTAGATTAGCTTAGCTCTGGCCATTGCAGTCACTCAGTGGATGGAGAGCTCTCTCTCTTTTTACCTTTCTTTTCAAATAAAAAATAAATCTTGTAACGTGAGGTGTTACTATCAAAAGAGAAGGAGTTAGTGACAAGGTAACTCTGGACACCAATGTTAATTTAACTGCATTCCAGCAGGGAGACGTACCTATGAGAAGCCTTTGAGTTAGGTTACAGCTACCTGCTTCAAAACTTTCACAGAAGTAGTCCTCAGGTAGTGTGCCTATAAGTGACCCACCAAGGAGGAGTTCCTCCAGGAACAGGGTTCCACAGAGAAATGTGCTTAATAAGGTCACGAGGCAGAAATAAGAATGGAAGAGTCTACATGACTAACATGAAAAAAGAGGGAAGACATTGAGTATTGTCAGTTAATAGGAAGAAGAAATACCAACATTCAGATTGGGTCTGGATCCCCATCTCTATATATACCTGAAACCTTTTTATGATGTCTCCAGGAAAGTTGGGCTCTGCACCGCTACTCACTGGTGTCATGGTGACAAGTGGGGAAGGTCCCCGTGGGCGCTTCAGAAGCTGCTGGGCGTGCAGCTGGATGTTGGCTCCTCCATCTGATGCCCTCCGGCCAAGGGGTCCCATTCCATTCAGGAGCTGCAGGGTTGGAGGTTGTAATAGAGACTGCTCCTGGTAGGAACAGAGCAGCAAGCAGAAACCGGTGAGATAATGGAAAATAGGAGAGCAAACCAAAATACTTTATCTACCAAATTTAAGGGAACTTTTGATCGTGAGGCAGGCTAACAAAATCTTCCCTCTGCTTTGCAACAGTGATTATTCTTTCCTTAAACAAACCCTTAAATCCTGGGGTAGATCTCTCAAGGCCTCCCAAAGGAAGCTCAAAGCTTGTTCTGGGGCAAGCCCTTTCCCATAGCCAGGTACCTTGTACTCAAGCTGCCCAGTTGGTTGCAAATTCTGCATAGGCAGCAGATTATGCATGAAGTTCATGTTAGGGGCCACTTGCAGGAATGGAGTCTGTGGATTGACGCCAGGGAAGCCTGGTAGGAGCTTCTGTAGATCTTCCATGACTTCCGTGCTATTACAAAACAGCATGGTAGAGAAATCTGATTAATATTCTTACTCAAAAGTGATACCACTGCTCTGGTTAGTGCAAGCTGTCTTCTCATTATTTCTTTGCTTTTCTTCTAACTTTGTATTTCTAAGAGGCACAAGAAGTCGCCTCCTGTGCAGAATCTGACTCTCAGCCGCTTTCCTACTTGGGATTGAGGAATGCCCTTCTTGTCCAACCCTCAGGTAAAATCAGCAGCTTTGGGCTGGGAGGAAACACTGGCACCAACCTAGCACAGGTTTTCACAGCCTGCAGGTGAGCAGCAAGGTTGTGGAGAACACAGACCATCTGATGAAACAATAACTGCCTGAAGTGGCAACTGATTCACCAGGAAAGGAATGCAATTACTCTTGTCAGTGGTGACAGGACGGAGAGGTACTGGATGTACAGAGCTGTCAGGCTACAACAGTAGGTTTTACAGCATACTTTAAAATAAGAGATCTTTCCACTAACAGAGCGACTCAGAACTCCACCCCTTTGCAGCTGACAGGCTGTGGAGTCAGAATGTTCCCCCATCGCCTGTTTGGTCGTAGGCCGAGGACAAGCACTGTGAAAGCAAGCCAATCGGCAGGCATGGAGTCTTTTTGGGAAATGCATGCAGAGAAAAGAGATATTTATAAGGAAACTGGTTTTTGCCCCTAGTTGAACTCACAGGAAAACTCTTGCCTCTAATTTCTCTTCACAACTCAGCAAAGCAAAATACCCAGAAAATGGGTAAAGCTGTTTCTAATATTGAGCATTCAACGACAGAACAAACAAGGAGCATGGTGGCCTTCAGTCCATTTCCCCAGTGTGTGGGCAACAGGGAACTTCATGAAACTAATTTGGGAAATCAATATGAGTTTGGATTCTTGGTTAATTGTTTGACTATTTACTTGTTTACATAAAGAAATTGCATCAAACCATTTGTCTTTGCTTCTAAGAAGAGTTACATTGCAGCATGAGGCCAACAGAATCTCTAAAAGCTGTCAAACTCACATGAGCTTTTAAAAAAACAAGATCTATCTTACTTATTTGAAAGGCAGAGTGCCAGCAAGAGAAGGAGAGACAGAGACTGGCTGGTTCATTCCCCAAACAGCTATAACCTCTAGGGCTGAGCCTGGATGAAGTCAGGAACCTGGAACTCCATCCAAGTCTCCCACATGGATGGCAGGGGCACATAACTGTTGCTTTCCCAGGCATACTGGTGGAAATCAGAGCATATGGGGATCCAGGTGGCACGGGCGGCTGCTTAATCTACTGCCTTATGATGCCAGCCTGAGATGAATATTAAAAATCACTTTTGGGGCTGGTGGTGTGGCATAGCAGGCACTGCATGCTTCACTTCTGAGACAGGGGCTCAAACATCTGGGCCCCTGTACACATGTGGGAGACTTGGAAGATGCTCATGGGTTTTGGCTTTGGTCTGACCCAGCTCTGGCCATTGTGGTCATTTGGGGAGTGAACCAGCAGATGGCAGATCTTTCTCTCTCTCTTTATATATATATATATTTGTGTGTGTGTATGTATACATATACACACATACATATATGGACACATATGAAATTCTACTTTCAAATAAATAAAAATTTTCAAAAAAGAATCACTTTAATGTAACATCAGAAATCTTCATTCTTTGTAGGCAAAGATGATATCATACTCTCCACCGGTATTGTGATTAATTAGGATGGCAGTACTAACTATTCACTTAGAGACACTTGGCAATTTTGTAGTCAAGTCAAGTCTAATCAACAATGGTCCCTGAATGGGTTACAAACCTGTCTTGGTCACTTGTTCAGCTCTCACCTGGGGGCTACAAGGAGGTGGAGAAATCCTGTCGTGGCAGGAACCAAGAGTCAGATGGGAATTCTTGGCTTGAGCCAGATACTCACCGTGGGTCAGCCACACCTACTGTGTGCCTCCTCATTGATAAATAGCGGACCAGTGCTTCAGGGGATGGTTCTTCACCCTCATCACTGTCCAAGTTCACTGTCCCATCGGGCTGTGGTGGGAGGAAAGGCAATCAGAAAGAATAAAAAGTAGTAAAGAAAGGCAGCGTGGGTATGGGAAAGAAAATGGTTGCACTTGACAATGATCACAGGTTGCTCCTCACCTCCACAATCTGGTTCTCTGGGTTGATCAGCTGCACCTGGGGAACGCTGATGTTCATCGTGGTCCCTGACTGCTCTGTCTGGAAAACGGCACACACACACAACACATGGCTTTAACGCTAGAGGCAAGTACCAGTAATCTCTCAAAGTCCTCTTGACTGCTCAAGTTTTCAGTTCTTTTACCCTTAAAAGTCACAACAAGGGAGCATTCTTTAGAGAGGATATTTCACAGTGGTTTGCTATTTCTTAAAACAAAACTCCAACAAATAAAAACAATGAATACTGCCCATCCATCTTCTTCTCTGTCACATAAAAGCTCTAACCTTGATGGACCAAAAAAAAAAAGAACAGGAAACTCTTGGTGTGGGGTTGGGAAACAGTGGCTACCTTACCCCTCTGGTGTATTCTGCTGAACTGACGCCCTGGAGGCCTTGCTCACCTGGATATTGACTGGTGTTTGAAATGCCATAGCCCGGGGCATGCTAGGAAGGGATCCGAGACGCAGGGTTTTATGTCTCTTATGTCGGTCGCACAGCAGGCTGTAGATGGCACTATAGTGATCATAGGCATCTGATCTTAATGACTACCAAAAGAGAAAGAAAAAGAGCAAAGAAACCTGGTTGAAATGGCATGTCAATGACCAAAGCCCTTTCAATAATAACATCAGAAGACAAAGACATCTTCTTTCTTTCCTACCAAAGCCCAGGGAAGGGGCAGAAGAAGAGGAAAGACAAGGGAGACAAAAGGATCCCAATTCTTAAGAAGGTGGAAAAACAGAAAAGTCTGACAGAAGAAAGCGTGCCACAGCTCACTTTGTTCTCCAATCCATAGCTACCTGCAGCGTCCGCTCTTTGTTGAGTCCCATGTCTTCCATAGCCAAGAGAACATCCTCATTTAAGGGGTCCATCTGTCTTTCTTCCTTTAGTTGTTGGCATTCAGCTATTAACTGTAACATAAAAAGAGGGAGGCTATCAACTCCCCAAATAACTATGTCAATATGGCATGTCATATTTAATGACCAAGCTATTCTAAGCTCATTACTGTGAGAAAGTTTTTGGCCTCAAAGTATAAACAAAATAACTGCTTGAGGAGTCCAGATTTCTCTGGTTCCTGAACTCCCCAGCAGACCTGAGATGGTCAGACCAGGTTTAAATAAGTGTATGCTGTGGAATCCACTGAACAGAACCTACTGGGAGAGGAAGGAAAGATCTCAAGGAGAGTGAATGCAAGCTGTCAACTGCACTGTCTCAAAAGCCAAAAGCAAATAATGATGTAGAGATACATGGCAGGGATCTGGTATCACCATTCTCCAACAATTCACATGGTTTCACATTCCTTACCGCTTGCCTCACTTGCTACTTTACAATTTCACAACAGTTTGTTCCCAGTGCCCATCTTTGCAGGTCCATGGCTTGACGACAGTCACACTTAAAAGAAACTGGAGTAGCTCTAAGAGGAGCTGCCTGAAGCAAGTGGTACCCAGCTCACCCTGTCAAAGTTGGGATCAGCGTCGCCTAGCTTCATCCACTTGTGCTTGCAGATCTGCTCCATGGAGAGGCGCTTATTTGGGTCTAACACCAGCATGTGACGGATCAAATGTTCACATTCTGCAAGAGACAAATGTTCTGGTGAGGGAAGCACGAATAGAGCTGAGGACCCGGAGGCCAAGTTAGCAGGCAGACTCCCAAGCTCCTTGTTTCTGATTTTGTCTCTCTCATTCCTTGATCCTTATCCATTTTATTGCTTTCTTCAGAAGGGGCGAGGCAAAGGCAGAGAGCAGAGAAAAGAGAAATTCAAATGTAGTAGTCTGGCTAATATCCTCACTAAAAGTTAACCCCCCCCCACACACAAAAGTGTAACCACAAAAACTCTGGGAATGAGGGATTTGCATTTTTAAAAATAATATGAGTGAACCCATTAGCACAACTGATGAACAGTAGTAGAATGGCCATCCTATTTTAAGCATTAATATGTGCATACTAACACGCATCTAATACTTTTGGCCTAGATGTGTAATAATTGCCTTCAAAACTGAAGAAGGTATTTGAAATTTCTGATGGTATGAGGCACCTGGGCAGACAGGAACATGCACAGCTACCTCTCTTCCACACAATGGAACTCATCATCCCTTATTTATCTTTTTTTTTTTGGTGTTGTTTCAGCCTTTATAGATACCCAAAACTGGGCTATAAGCTACAATTATTCAGATCAATGGATACTTACAGATTATACTGCAGAAAGAAAAACGTATTCAAGACCAGGAAACCTGTGTTATGATTTCAAAATCACCCTTTTAGTTTTCTTACGGGAGGCATATGTATAGAAGAGATGCTGCTGCAAAAACAGCAGTGCTGTTTCTAGGCACTTTACCATTATTCCTCACTCTGCACAGTGATCTTAGAAGAGTGTACTTGCATGACTCCCAATTTAGAAATGGTAAAAATTAAGCACAGAGAACTTATGAAAATTGAGTCAAGGTCACATGATTATTAAGCCAGATGTCAAACCTGACAGTCTGACACCTCACCATCACGCTACCTGCACAGGGCTGGTGGCTGAGGCAACCCCTGAGGGCTTACCCCCTTCACCCGAACCACCATCACATCTGGCTTAGATCACCATAAAAACCTCTTAGCCTTTCAGCTTCCCATTTTACTGCATTATAATCCATGCATTATATGAAGGCAAAGGGGATTTTTTTAAAAAGCATAAATCCGAGCCTTCCACTACAGAGCCTATAATTAAACCTCCAGTCTCTTCCCACAACTCTCAAAATAAAATGCAAAGTTCCTCCCCATAAGCCCCTTCCTACGCTACAGCTTCTGCCCGCCTCTCTGACCTCAGCCCCTGCTGTCCTGACAGCGTGGAATCACCGTGTATGCGTCATGCATGCATACCCAATGCCTTTACACATCCTCTTTGCTTAAATCTTCACATGGCAGGCTCCTGGTTATTTATGTAAGTGTTTAAATGTCACTTCCTCAGAAGGCTCTTACCTGACACCTGCACTAAGCGAGGCCTCCAATTCCTTTCTATTACATCATATTCATGTTCTTCACCCAAGGTACTTCTTTGTGACATCCTGTTTCTGCAGTGACTTGCTTACTGTCTGACTCCCTTATCCTCATGTAGAGCCCGTAACTTCCTCACCATTGTGTATCTACCATTAGACTTCCAGTATCAAAAATGGTCCCTATACATCATGAATTGTATAGTTATACACTGAATGCATGAATGTTTACTGAATATTTAATCTAACCAAAATGAGGCTACATTTGCGAAATGCTTTTTAAAACAAAGTTCTCTGAAGTTATAAGCTTTTCCACTTTTATTAATCATTACAACTTTCCTGAACACAAAACTGGACAGTAGAAATAATAACAAATCATGTCAAATGTAAAAAGACTTCATATATTAAACACGGTGCTTACAAACTTCATTCAATTTTCACAATCTTCCCAAGTTAGATACTATTTTTAAATAGACAAGAAATAAGGTTCTGGAAAGCTAAATAATATACTCAAATCACAAAGCATTGGCAAAGCTAAGACTTCAGGGCTTACTATCAAGGCTGGCACCATGGTGTAGTCAGCTAAGCCTCTGCCTGTGGTGCCAGCATTACATTTGGAAATTGGTTGGAGTCCCAGATGCTCCACTTCCAATCCAGCTCCCGGTTAATGCATCTGGAAAAGCAGCATGGGATTTTCCAAGTGCTTGGGCACCTGTACCCACGTGGGAGACCAGGAAGAAGCTCTTGGCTCCCACCTTCAAACAAGCCCAGCTCTGGCTATTGTGAACATTTGAGGAGTGAACCAGCAGAAAGATCCCTGCCTCTTTTCTCTAACTCTACCTTTCAATTAAAAAATTTTTTTAGACAGCATAACTATCCCTTTTTTTTATCTCTTTCCAAGATGAATTCAATTCTGTAATTTTTAAAAAAAGATTTATTTATTTTTATTGGAAAGTCGGATTTATAGAGAGAATGAGACACAGAGAAAGCTTTTCCATCCACTGGTTCACTTCCCAAGTGTCCACAATGGCTGGAGCTGAGCCAATCCAAAGCCAATCAGGAGCCAGGAGCTCTTCCGGGTCTCTCACACAGGTGCAGGATTCCAAGGCTTTGGGCTATCCCCGACTGCTTTCCCAGGTCACAAGTAGGGAGCTGTAAGGGAAGTGGAGCAGTCGGGGATGAACTGGTGCCCATAATGGATCCCAGTGCATGCAAGGCGAGAATTTAGCCACTAGACTACTGCGCCAGTCCCCAATTCTGTGATTTTCATACCATTTGGAAAATACTACTCTATATTACCTCTTTGAGAGGAGTGGTAAGAATGATTAAAATACATTATTCTTAATTTATTCTTACTTTAAAACAAAATGTAACAAAGTCCCTATATCAGAATTGTTTTTATGGCACCTACCAATTTTTTTTTGCCTTATGATTAAAAGTATATTCAGATGAATTATAGACCTGAAAGACTACAGTGCCTTATACAAATAAATGTTATCTATATTAGCGTTATTAAATCGTTTCCAGAATAGTAAGGCTAGAATTCACAACTATATCATATGTATAGATTATGGATATCACTAGCACACACATTTGTGGTCGGAAATTACACGAGGAAAAGAAATGTTCTGTAATTCAAAAATTGCTAAAGCTAAAAGACTCAATAGGGAGAGTGCTGGGTCCTGCTTCAGAAGCTGTAAAGTTATTTACAGCCTCTAGATGGCAGTCTTCGGTTTTCTTTTGGGTTTCTGGTAAATTTATCCCTTAAAAACATTACCAAGGCCCAGTGATGTGCAAATTTCCTTAAATTAAAAAAAAAAAAAAAAAAAAAAAAAAAAAAAAAAAAGCACACACACACACAAAGTGTATCTTAAGTCCTACTTATGTTTCTAGTTCAATTTCAGGCTCTTGAAACCCCTATTCTGTTTTTCTGACCCCATTATTGGACTCAGATGCCTTGAAAACCTCCACAGAAATTCATACTGGATCTAGACACTAAGATCAGTATATAATTTTCGACTGCTCAAGGAGTCCAGGATTCCTGCCATAGACTCCCCAGATGGTTACAGGTTCCCAGTTACGCAGTCCCGGTTGCAGTCTTCATACCTTAAGGGCAAGAGCTTTTATTTTGTCTGTCCCACATAATACAAACTTGCAAAGGAACAGAAATCTAACACTTTTCATATGTTGCACAGATGGTAAAATATGACAAAATGCAAAAAAGCTACAGCATCATCAGCTTAGTCTTCCTAAGTGTCACACAGCTCATGAAATTAAATTCAAAAGAGAGCTGAACAGTATTCCACATAAAATATGAAAAGATAGACAGGAGTAAACGCTCTCAGACCTAAAGACGTGACGGACCACAGGACAATTTAAAGACTGGAAGAAGATGGGGCCTCAGATTAAAGGGCATAAAACAGCAACTTTTCCAGATGCTAAGAAGCAGTCTATTTTCATGTCTGAAACGGTTCCTTCACTTGTTCCCTCTGAAAAGGCAGGGCCTTTGATGCTGAACGAAACCAAAGCACTCTGGGCGCTGTGGCCACACGCTACGTGTGCCAGAGCGGCAGCTTCCCAAAGAGGCTGCTTTCATCTGTCCTAAGAGCCCAGCAGCTTCTGCAGTGGAAAGCACTGAGGGCCCAGGAAACCCGAGACGCCAGCAAATGCTAACCAAGGATGTGCGGCCCTGCCCTGCTGTGCTGACAGGCATCTGGGTGACTTCATGGAGACAGGGCTGCCAGAGGAGCCGGGTCCTAAAATGAGAATTAAGCAGAGATCCAGTGACTCTTGAGGAGGGCAAAATCTTTAAAACTGTTTTTTCTTTTTTGTCTTTGTTAACAATTTTCTCAAAGATGCTGAAAGCTCAAAGAGTGTGTGTGTGTGTGTGGGGGGGGCCTCAAAGACGGGAGCAGGGAAATAAGAAAACTTTAAATTCACTAAAGATAGTTTAACAGAAGTTGTGTCCAGTTTCTAGGCTAGAAAAAGAAAGAGCAGAGCTAAGGAGGAATTTCCTGAAAAAATTTTGATGGCAAGCAATCCGAAGATGAGTTAGAGGTGCTAAGGCTGATTGATGTTGGAAAAGAGGAGAGGCAGGAGGGGGCAAGCTGAGCGTTCTTCAAAGACTCAAAAGATTTTACAAAGTGATGAACTGGATTGGTACTGTGATATTCCAAGGGCCTGAATTTGCAATAATTGGAAAGTTACAAGTTCAATGTAAGAAAAAAAAAACCTTTCCAATTACCAGTGCTGATTCAGTTCACTGGATCAGAGTCCCAGGGATCCAAGAAGGGACCCCATAGGGAGATGAGAAGAGCAGTCAGAGACGGAGCAACACTTGGAGCACAGCTCATTCTATCTGATTTGTATATCAGCGTTCCAGTTACGATTTCAGTTAAAAAACTAAGTCCAGAAACAATTGGATAGTATAAATTTCTTAGTTCTCTTCAACTCCAAAAACCATGTAGCTATGAAAAAGAAATGATTTATCCTAGAAATGTGACATGGCGATGTTATTAAACATCACGGACACTGTGTTTCACAGTCTTTCAAACACGGACCCTGTGTTTCACAGAGTCACATAGCCCTTCCTCCCTG